CAAGCCTCCTGTCTTGTTACTAATGAAGGAGCAGAGTAGGTGTTGACCACTGAACAGAAAATAAGGGATTCTAGGGACGCACACATAGTCATTACACAGGTAATGGGCCTGGTGACTCATGATCACCATGCAATTGTCACTCTAAATAATTTCAGCAATAAATACAGTCTGTGTTGCCCTGAGTGCTAAACTGGGTTTTGTTGTGTAGCTTTGGAGCTGGTCCTGGAACTTGTTCTGTAGACCAGGCTGGCCTCAAACTCACAAAGATATGCCTGCGTCTGCCTCCCAGGTGCTGGGACCAAAGGTGTGCTCTGTGTGTTAAGTAATTGTTGCAAATACTGCTTAACTTTAATAAACCCTGTGAGCTTCAAGTTAGTGTTTTTTGGTTTTTATTTATTGCTCATAAGTACTGTGGTTGATTTAGAAAACTCCCCAGCTGTGTGCATTTACTTAAGAGTAAGGACTAAGCTATACAGTCTTGCGTTTAAACATTTCATTTGGCTGGGAATGTAGCTCAGTTGAAAGAGTACTTACCCAACATACACAAGGCCCTGGGTTCAATCCCACCACATGAACTGGGTGTGGTGGTATATGCCTGTAATTACAGCTCTGGATAGGAATAGTTAAGAGGAGCTGAAGTTCAAGGTCATCTTTGGCTACATAGTAAGTTCAAGGCTAGCCTGGGTTTTGTGGATCTCTTTCTCAAACAAGACAAAAAATAGTTGCTTTAAATGATGATAGTGTAGTCCTCATAAAGTTGAAGAGATAGAATTTGATTTCCTTTTAATTCTGTTGTTCTATATGAAGACTAGCACTTTAATTGATATTTAAGTTTAAAACAGTATGTGAAAACTGTATCTTTGTGGGGAGGGTTTGAGACAGGGTTTTTCTGTGTAGACTTTCCTGTCCTGGAACTCTCTGTAGACCGGGCTGGCCTTCAACTCACAGAGATCCACCTGGGATTAAAGGCATGCACTACCACTGTCCAGCTGGAAACCGTATTTTTAAAAAAAGGTTCATTTTTAATAATTTTTAATTTCTTGTATACATATATGTCTGTATGTGGGTGTGTGTATGTGAGTGCTGGGACCTTAGAATCCAGAAGAGGGCATTAGATTTGGAGCTGGAGTTACAGATGGTTCTGAGCTGTTGCATGTGGGTGCTGGGGACTGAACTTGTTATGCTTAGATAGCAGAGTCTCCCCAAAAACCGACAAGGAAACTGAATCCCGTATATAAAAGCAAAGAGCCTTTATTTATGCTTGAGCTTGGACTGTTTGTCTTACTGACTCAGCAGTGGAGGAGGTTGGGGGTGAGAGGATTTTCAGGGTTCCAGGCCCTGATTGACTGACAGTTGTCTAGGGTGTCTTGGTGAAAGGGGATGGGTGTATAGTAGGTTAAGATAGTTGATCCAATCTACATTGGTTGGAATGTTAGGAATTTCCTTTGCCACTTTCTCCTTGGAAGGCCTGCTCCTGGGTGGTGCCTGGGTGATCTCAGTTTGTGGTCTTTTCCTGGAGTCAGGTGTTGCTTTAGGGTAAACTGAAAACTCAGGCCTGCTTGAGCCTTGGCACGGGAGCGGAGCGGAGCAGTGTAGTGAAGCGGCAGGTGTGTACCAAGCTTCCTTGGGTCCTACAAACTCGGGTCCCCTGGAAGAGCAGTACATACTCATAACCACTGAGCCATCTCCCAAGCCTGCAAACTGTATCATTGAGTACAATTTACTTCACATATGAAACAGTTTACTAGTTTATTTATGTCTTCAAGATTGAGCTGCTTTTCCCCTTGAACCCTTGTTTGTTTTTGAGATGTTCTTGTGTAGCTCGAGTTGATCTTGAACTTCGCCAGTCTCCCGTATGCTGGGATGGCAGGTGTGTGGCCATCACCCTGGTGTAATTGCTGACTTTAATGCAAGTTGAGGAAATAATGATATAATGCATAGCAAAACTGCTAGTATAAGACAGATGTGGTGGTACACTCCTGTAATACCAGGGTTTGGGAGGTGGAGGCAGGAGGGCAAGTTTCAAGCCAGACTGGGTTACAGGAGATTCTGTCCCAAACACCAGAATGAACAACAACAACAAAATCCAAATATAGGTAGATATTTCCCCTTAATTTAAGACACATTCATTTAATTAAAAATACATTAATCCATTATACTTTTCCTACTATATAGTATGTTTGTTTGTATGTATGCATGTATTTGTTTATTTCCAGACAGAGTCCCATGTGTTTCAGGATGACCTTAAACTCCCCATGAAACTGAGGCTGACCTTGAACTCAAGATCCACCTGCCTTTCCCTTCTAAGCGTTGAGATTACAGGCGTGTGCCACCGCACATCTAGCTTGTGTTGTGTGTGTGTGTGTGTGTGTGTGTGTGTGTGTGTGTAAGTGTATATGTATATATGTTTGTGTATATATGTGTGTGTAAGTTTGTATGTGTGGATACACATATATATTTTACTGGCATGACTATATATGCAAAGGTCAATGAAAGAAAATTTCCACACATTTCTGGCCATTATTATTTGTTTCATTTAACAAGTATTTATCAAATTATTTTAATGGGTATGGGATGGTACTGAAGGAGGTCCTAGTGTCTGATAAACTTGGTAGACACTGGACAAACCTCAGCTACAAGGAAAATAGAAGAACCCCAATAAGGTCCTATGAGAAAAGGTCCTTGCCAACCTTCCTCTTCTGGTCTCTACCTTCTTTTGGACCTTTCGGATTATTTTGACTACAGAAAAAAGTCAATGTCGGAGCAGACTACCATGAGCACGTGAGGACCCTGTCTGTCCATCAGACCTGTGTCTTTCAGAAGGCCACAGTGGGCACCTAGGCTGGAGGACCTCACTGAGGGCTCCAACCCTTCATCACTGTCTCACCCCTTGGGTTTGAATGTCCCCAGCTCAGAGAACTAGGAGCCAACACCCTCCCTTTGGAGGCCTCACTTTCAGAGATCCAGCCCTGAAGGATCTGAGAAGCTTTTGCGTTCTTCCCTCCTCCCACCAAGCTTGAAGTCAATGGCTGCATGAGGGGCAGCCTGGTGTGCATTTAATAAAGATGCAACCGTGGGGGGGAGGGACAACAAGGTTTCTTCAGTGCACTGCTGTGCTAGGCACTGTGTGTTCCCTGACATGTCACACATGATAGCTCTACCAGGCAGCTATGGAAAACCCCACTTCAGGAGATGGTCACCTTCAGGCAGAGCAGCTTGCCTACAGGGTGATGGGATTATATCAGGAGTTCTTGAGCACTTCCTTGAGCTGCTCTCAGTGGGCTACTTGCTGCTGAATGAGGGATTTAGGCCCCAGCTCAACTTGGAAGGATTATAATTAGATGGTTAGTATGGTTGGGGCCTATGGACAGGGTCCCATGGGAGGGTAGCATTAGCTCCAGGGGTTAGGGAAGCCACATGACAGGCCATGCTTCCCCTTCAGTCTCCTGCATGCACTTTTACTTGTCAATCCAGACCCAAGGACCAGCTTTAGCAATGCTTCCAGAACTTGTCTTCCATGGTCAAGCTTGTAGGGTCCCTTGGAGGGCCCCTACACATCTATTCTCTCATTGTTATACTGAGCAGCCAATAAGCCCAAATCCTTAAGATAGCCAAACATCACCAATGTAGCAGGTAGCGCTGGGTCTAGAGCTCAGGGCTCTGTCCCTAGTTCATGCCCAAGCCCACCTCAACCCATGGCTATGGCCACTCTCACCTAACTGCCTGCTGCTAAAGAACAGTGGTTCCTGTGGAGGAGGGCAGACCACCGTGGCAACCTGGCACACTCAGTTTCAGCCATCTTGAAGGGAATGCAAGCTCAGCTGTTGGAGTTATAGTCTTAGTCTCTTGGGGTCTCTGTTTGGAAACTGGCTCACAGTTTGGAAACTGAGGTCTAGCAGGTGTCAACAGGGGACCTAGTGGACTTTCATCATTCCCTGTAAATTTTTATCCCTTGGCACATAGGTCGGGGCCTCTGTTGAAGACAGGAGATAAGATAGGGGAGGCCTGTTAACTGGAGCTTGTGAAAGGGATTGCCAAAGCCAAGTGGCTGTTTCAGGGGGAACTGTTGAGGCCAGATGGCAATGGTGGGAGCATTGCTATGGGAGGAGGGGCAGGTTTAGGTGGGGCAGGGGTTGAAGGGCCTGGCAAGAGTCTTGTGAGGTCTGGAAGGTACAGGGTCTGCACTGATGAAGGAACAGACATAGCCTCCTGACAGGATCAGGATAGGTTGGTTGTCGGCACAGTGGCAGTGGCTTTGGAGCCTTGTTCAGAGATGAACATTAGCTGATAGCACTAGAGAGGTGAGGGAAGAGAGAGAGAGAGAGAGAGAGAGAGAGAGAGTGCTGAATCATTGACTATCCATTCATTCTATAGACATTTAAAGAATACTGAATGAAGCCTTGTGCTGAGTGTGGGGGGTGTGACACTAAGTCTAGATTCTACTTCTGCCCTGATGGGGAAAGAAATAAACCTTTCCAAATGTCCACCCAATTCCTACTTTAGGGATGTGACAATGAGGTCTGGAAATGAGGAGTGACTTCCCCAGGCCACAGTGATGGGACTAAGCCCGGTGTTCTTGTCAGTACCTGGGTCATTCATTATTCACTGGGTGCCATCTACAACCCAGCCACTGCTTTGGATTATGAGAGAAAAGCATCCGTGGACCCGAGTAGAGGTGGTATGGAACAAGGGTGAGGGGAACTAAGAGGGATGATGTACCTATGTGTTAGGACCAAAGCAGGATGGAGAGTGTCAATCACACAGCTCCCCTGAAAACCAGAGTGAGGTTCCAAAGCTCCGCCCCAGGGGCTGGACTTCTGGGAACAAAGACCTGCCCCCTCTACCCCAGGATGGGCTATAAAGTCTCTTAGCTCCTTCCAGAGCAGAGTTAAGCAGAAAGAAACCATCTCAGTCCTCTGGGGGAGGAAGGAGTGGGACTCTCCTGTGGGGTCTGTGGTATCGTTTGCCTGCTCAGCTGTAGCGGGGGCTCTGCTTGTACGATGCAGCTGCTACTGGCCCCGGTAGTGGTCCTAGCCACATTCACCCTTACCCAGCCCTCTGAGGGCACTGCCCCAGGTAAGAGCCCCTTGGACACCAAGGCAGAAGATGGGTGTGGAGGGAAAAACACTTAGATCTGGGGAGTCTGTGGCTCCCTTGAATATTGAGTCCCTATGCCGTTGAACAGTTTCCCCTGGTCAAGTGGAGAATTCAGTCCTTCAAAACTGCATAGAAGAGGCCAAGTTGATGGTGGATGCTGCCTATAATTGGACACAGAAGAGGTGGGCCTGGGTCTGGGGCTATACCAGCCTGGGACGGTCAGTGAGGGAGGACAGGCCCTTGGCAAATCATCTTACCCAAGCTGAACCCTGGGTACTATGAGTGTCCCTGCTGGGCTGAGGCTCTGCTGGTAGGATGCCCCCACTTCCAGCCTCCTCTTTCTCCTCCTCTTTGGGACAGCATCAAGCAACGCCTTAGCAGTGGCTCAGCCAGCCCCATGGACCTCCTGGCCTACTTCAAGCAGCCAGTAGCAACCACCAAAAGGGTTGTTCGGTCTGCTGATTACATGCACGTGGCCTTAGGGCTTCTGGAAGAGAAGCTTCAGTCTCAAGGATCCAGACCCTTCAACGTCACTGGTACTGTGTTTCCCGTTGAGCCCCCAAGGCCTTCCCTAGCCTGGGAGTGGAAGAAAGCCAGATGTGAGAGGTGGGGTGAAAAGCCTAGGGGATGTTAGAGCTGATAGAGGGATAGAACTCAGAGCCCTGGCCCCCTCCTCCCCAGATGTGCTCACAGAATCGCAGTTGCGCCTGCTGTCCCAGGCCAGTGGCTGTGCTCTCCAGGACCAGGCTGAGAGGTGCAGCAACAAGTATCGCACCATCACAGGGAGATGCAACAACAAGTGGGTGCCGGGGCTCTGCCTTTGCTCTCCTGTCTCTTCCTCAGGCCTTGCACCCTGCTAACACCTACCCACTCACTACTCCAGGAAGAGACCCTGGCTGGGAGCCTCCAACCAGGCTCTGGCCCGCTGGCTGCCAGCTGAGTATGAAGACCGTAGGTCGCTCCCCTTTGGCTGGACCCCTGGCAAGAGGCGCAATGGCTTCTTACTTCCTCTTGTGAGTTGGAGTGGAGGATCTGGAAAATGTTTGCTCTCTTTTAGATGCCAGAGGGTAAAGCGCAGCCCTGAGCCATCAGGCAGGCAGAGCTCAGATCTGGGCTGGCCCACTGATCTGATGAGTAACTTTGGGTAGAGAATACCACTTACTCCCTGAGTCTCAGTTTCTTCACTTGTAAATAGCAAAATCTAAGCTTGTGTGAATGGAAGTGAAGTCCTTGGCATGAAAAGCTATATAGACCATGATCTATGGGTACCTATGCTCCCTACTATGGAATGGAGTGTTTGGTTGTTTGCATGGTTGAACAGGTGTCAAAGCATCTCTGTCTTTCTCCTCTCCTCTCCTCTCTGCTCCTCCTCTCCTTTTATCTCCTCTCTCTCTTCTCTCTCTCCTCTCTCTCATGTGATGTGAATGTCTCTGTGTGCACAGGCATGAAAGACTTGGGTGTCTTCATATATACATGCTTGCTGTTTCCTGTAAGCTGATTGGCTAGTGAACTACTGGGATTGGCCTCTCTCAGCTCTCAAGGTATGGGCTACAGGCCCATGCAGCCATGCTCGGCTCTATGCAGGTTCTGAGGATTTGAATTCATGTCTTACCCATTAAGTCATCTCCCAGGTCCTTTGTTTTACTTTTTGAGACAAAGTCGTATTCTATAGTTTATACTTGCCTGAATTTAGGATGTAACCCAGGCTGGTCTCAAACTCACTGCAATCCTCCTACCTCTGCTTCCCATGGCTGGGATTATAGGTGTGAGACTCCATGTTTAGATCAAAGCATTTGAGGTGGGGGTGAGACTGGGTTTCTCTGTGTAACAGCCCTAGCTGTCCTGGAACTAGCTCTGTAGATCAGCCTGGCTTCAAACTCACAGAGATCCACCTGCCTCCTGAATGCTGGGATTAAAGGTGTGTACCACCACTGCCCAGCCTCAAAGTATCTTGCTAAATATAAAAGTTCTATGCATTTGTGAATCTATGATCTACAATTTTATATTGGTCAACTTTCTGTTGATATATTAATATAACAATTCCATACCTGCCTTAATATTAATATGCTAAATTTTCTTCAATTAATTCGTTCATCCAGTTCTCTATTTCTTATCTACCAAATTAGTCTTATATCTGAAGATCAACAGTTCTCTAACCTATCTGTCTACACACTGACCTCATATCTCTGGGAGGGCTGGTGAGGCTGACCGGCTGGTCTGGCCCGGCTTCCTCTTATGTTAAGACAGGATCTTTCTGTGTAGTTCAGAATGGCATGTAACTCATTGAAATTACAATCCTCCTGCCGCAGCCTCTCAAATCCTAGGTTTAGAGGCGCCTGCCACCAGAAGCCTCAGGCCAAGCCATAGACTGTCCTTCTGTGAATGACAGCCACCACAAGAGGGGGCTGGATCTCTAAGAACGGGGAAGGGGTGGATGGAAAATTGCGAGCCCTGGCACTGCCTGAGGCCTGGGTTGGTCTCAGCCCAGATCGCAAGCCCAGACTCAGGTTGACCCTATTTCCTCCACCAGGTCCGGGCTGTCTCCAATCAGATTGTGCGTTTCCCCAGAAATAAGCTGGCCTCCGACCAGGGCCGGTCCCTCATGTTCATGCAGTGGGGACAGTTCATCGACCATGATTTGGACTTTTCCCCAGAGTCCCCAGCCAGAGTGGCCTTCACTGTGGGTGTGGACTGTGAGAAGACTTGTGCCCAGCTGCCCCCCTGCTTCCCCATCAAGGTATAAGGCCCTTGGGTAGCCTCCAGCCCAGAAAGGGATATGGGGGAGCCGTCCAGGCACCAAGAAACAGACAACCCCCCTCCCCGGCTGTGTATGTTGGAAGGATGGGGGTGGCTGGGCTCTATTGGAGTTTCATAGAGGAGATATATCAAAGACAGGTCTTGACCCATGGGTCTGACTCCAGCAGAGGAGGCCTCTAGGTCCCTACTATGGAGCTTATTCCAGTCTTATCTTCTGCTCTTCCTGGGCTGGTGTAGGCCTAGAGCGCTGCAGTTCTTGCCAACTCCTGGGGTTGGGCTATAAGCAGGGTCCTCCTCCTCCAGGCTGGAAGGCAAGGACAGTGTGGGGTTAGGTAAGAAAACACAGAATTCAGGGAGAAGAATCTCTTCTGGGAAAGGACACACAAACACAGGCACGCACTCGCACATGACACGCACACATACACACCCCACAGGTTTGCTTGCTTGTAGTAGATATGGAGGCGATCAGAGGGGGCTGTGTGTCAGCAAACCCCTTTACTCCAGCCTTGATGCAGGGGTATGCCCTCTGTGGAGCCTTCTAGATCTTCCTAGTACAGTGTTAGCACTGGGCTTATATAGCAAGCACAGCAAAGGGTGCCTCCCTTGAGCATTGCTTAATGGCATGTGCAACAGCTTGTCTCAGAGGCTCAACCTCTCCTCCAGTCAGATGAAGCTCTGCCTCATTTCAGGAGCTTCATCCAGGGCTGGGGTTCATCTCAGGGCAGCACTGGTCCAGCAAGCACAAAGCCCTGGGTTTGAGTCTGAGTGAGTCCTGGAGGGCTTCCTGAAGTAGGGAAGTTTTGAGTAAGGTCAAAAGTGAGTGGGAGATACCCCAGGTCAGTGAGCCTGATGTGGAGAAGTTCCAGACTCAGTGAGCGCTCTTCACTCTAGATACCGCCCAATGACCCCCACATCAGGAACCAGCGTGACTGCATCCCTTTCTTCCGCTCTGCACCTGCGTGCCCCAAAAACAAGAACAAAGTCCGCAACCAGATCAATGCACTCACATCCTTCGTGGATGCCAGCATGGTGTATGGCAGCGAGGTCTCCCTTGCACTGAGGCTCCGCAATCGGACCAACTACTGGGGACTGCTGGCCACCAACCAGCGTTTCCAGGACAATGGCCGAGCCCTATTGCCCTTTGACAACCTGCATGAAGACCCTTGTCTTCTCACTAACCGCTCTGCGCGCATCCCCTGCTTCCTGGCAGGTCAGTCTGTGGGGGAGTTAGAGTCTTTCCAGGATGGAGGTGCATGATGGGGTGTGGTGAGGATACACTATTTGGGAACTCAGGGGACCCTCAGTATGGGAGCACACCATAGGTACAGATTTGTGCAGTCACTGGGAAAACTGGTAGGTGGGAATCGGTCCCGATGACTCTTCCCTGGGTGTGGTCAAATATCCTTGCTTCAGGGTCTCCGTTGATGAGGGGCTCACCACCTGAGTGCACTCCAGCCAACTATAGGAAGGGTCCCTTTTATCTGGATTCAGTTACTGCCCATTGCTCTTAGTTATGCTACTGGGACCTGAGACAAAGAGGCTGACTCCTCTCCCTGTGACAGAAAGGGTTCTTCTCTTCAGTTACTGGAAAGTAACTGTTGCCTGTACCTCAATTTTCTCCTTTAGGCTGTTTTCTTATCCTGTGCCTTCCTTTTTGTTACATAGTTATTCATTTGTGTGTTACCTTCCTTCCTCAGATGTATAGTTTATGTTCTGTTCATAGTCCTTACCCCCTCCTTCCTGTGTGGTTTATGGTAATGATAGTAATCACTTCAGGGTGTTTAAGATGTCCAGATGGGCCATCCCTGAACCTCACAGCAACCCAGAAAGGCAGGTAGTATCATCCTCAACTTACAGATGTGAGGCTGAGACCCAGGAAAGATGCTTGTGTTCAAGAGAGCAGCGTTCTGAGGGCAGAGCCCATACTAGAGCAAAGTCAGTGTAGCTCCCAGGCCTCCCCTCTGTATGCTCTGCCCTATTGCTTAACTAAAACTCTTTCTGCAAGGATTGTACGACTATCTACCCTGGGGGAGCGGTATGTACCTTCATCAGAGGGTCTCCATGAACTCAGTCTAAATAAGACCTTCTGTGGGAGGATTGGGTGAGAAGCCAGCAGGTGGCTGAACTTGCTGTCCTAGCCTGCCTATGGGGAAGATCTGAGTACAAAAAAAGGGCCCTGCTCATTGTGCCTGTCCCCTGCTTCCTTGGAAGGGCAGCATGACAACAAATTCAACCATGGGAAGGTAGAGCCCTTAGTGGAGAAACACATGCAGACAGGAGGCATGTAGTCCCAAGGTCAAGGTTCCCAGTATCGGCTCCCACCATGTGTGGTCAGGGTCGTGGGTCTGGCCTTCTTGCAGAAGAGAATCACCAGGCAAGGACACCAGCATTTTCTCTGTGTATCTCCCTTAGTCCTAACATGGTCCAGCCACTTAGGGACCCAGGAACCCACTGTGCCCTCCGTCTTGGAGAGGAAGGTGTTGGTCAGTAAGGAGCCGGCTGGTATAGTTGTAAAGGACACATACGTGGTCTCTGGGTCCCAGATCTCAGTCTGCCCTTACTGAAAGACCATCTGATAATCATGAAGTTGGGGTTTTCAAGGTGATACCCGGTCAAGTGAAACCCCCAAACTGGCATCCTTGCACACCCTCTTCATGAGAGAACACAATCGGCTGGCCACTGAGCTGAGGCGGCTGAATCCCAGCTGGAGTGGAGACAAGCTGTACAACGAGGCCCGGAAGATTGTGGGTGCCATGGTTCAGGTAAGGGGTCCAGAGGCCGGCAGGAATCTGAGAGAGTGGCTCCCAACCTTCCTGAACAGGGCTTTGAGGCTGTACCTCAAGGCTGCTGGGTCTGGATGCTTGGGGCACATCTCTGTCCTTGGTTCTGCAATTAACTGTAACCCCATCCGTGGCATTCTCTTTGGGTTTCACTGTCTCAGCCTCCGGTGGGAGATTAGTGTCACCATACTTCAGTGGCGATAGTCACTACGGTGCCCCAGAAGCCCTTTGAAAAGCAGGCATCTGTGCAAAGGGGAGGGGGTGCTGTAGGTCGCTCAGGCAGTACTCCTCCTGTGTCATCTCTTCCAGATCATCACCTACCGAGACTTTCTGCCTCTGGTTCTGGGCAAGGCCCGGATCAGAAGAGCCTTGGGTCCCTACAAAGGGTATTGCTCCAACGTGGACCCACGCGTAGCCAACGTTTTCACCCTGGCCTTCCGCTTTGGCCACACCATGCTGCAGCCCTTCATGTTCCGCTTGAACAGCCAATATCGGGTCTCACGAACCAACCCCCACGTTCCACTTAGCTCTGTATTCTTTGCCAGCTGGCGTATCATACATGAAGGTGACTGGGTTTCCCAAAGGCAAAAGGGGGTGAAGGTTCAAGCACCCGTCCCTCAGGTGGGCCGCTGAATGTTGGTTGGGTCTTTGCAAATGCCTCCCCTGGACAGTAGCAAGAAGGCAGCCATCAGTGGGTCTCTTGTGTCCCGAGAGAGTGCTCCCCAGCCCCCCCCCACTCACCGGGAATTAAACCTAGGGCCTTGTGCATGGTAGGAAAACTCTCTACCATTAAGCTATATCCCATCCCTTTTACTTTTATACTTTTATATAAGAGCTTTATTAAAAGTAGCCCAGGCTGGATGGTGGTGGCACAGGCCTTTAATCCCAGCACTCGGAAGGCAGAGACAGGCGGATCTCTGTGAGTCTGAGGCTAGCCTGGTCTACAGAGTGAGTTCCAGGATAGGCTCCAAAGCTACAGAGAAACCTTGTTTGGAATCCCCCACCCCCACCAAAAGACATAAAAAAGTAGCCCAGGTTGGTCTTGAACTTATAACTCTCCTGCCTCAGCCTCCTGAGATGCTAAGATTATCATTATATCTATACAATCCATATCACCAGGCATGATAAGGGGGGCATTTCTAAGACTTGACATCAGAGTGGTAGATCATGGATCTGTAAGGACTCCTACCTGCTAGCTTGGCATCATGGGATGACCCCAGCACCTCTCATTCCCTGTGACCAGGTGGCATTGACCCTATCCTCCGAGGTCTCATGGCCACCCCAGCTAAGCTGAACCGGCAAGATTCCATGATGGTGGATGAACTCCGGGACAAGCTGTTTCAGCAAGTGAGACGGATCGGGCTGGACCTGGCAGCTCTGAACATGCAGCGCAGCCGGGACCATGGGCTTCCAGGTGAGGGGATACGTCAGACAGGGCTGTTTTCAGGGTTCAGAGCAAACCTTGACCCTCCCTTCTGACCGGAACAAGACGAGCAGTTGTGTAGAGCAGGCAAGACCCATGTTGATGCCCCACAATCCTTTGCTTGCTAACTCGCTGGGTCAAAGAAATTGCAGGGCCCTTAGACCTGAGGGGTGAAAGCCAAGGAGTCTGGGAGACGGGGAATAAATAGAACAAGATTAAGACCTCATGGGGCTGTTTGGTGAGGACGCAGAGAGCCATTACAGGAGTGAAGAGAGAAGGCACTTCCGTTTATCTCATTTCCTAGCTTCAATGACCTTCAGGGGCAGCTGTTCCAGCCATCCTGAAGATGGAGAAGTAAGCCAGAGGCAGTTAGCAATATGCTCAAAAGTCATGAACGTGTGTAAAACTCCGATTTTAAAATGCCTTCATTCTTCCTGTTGTTTGACCCCATTCAACACCATGAAGAGGTTTCAACCTCAGTTTGCCTTTCTTCCTTCCAACTCCAGCCTCCCTCTTTAGATAGAACCCGAAGCCCCGTGTGTCCTGGCTGATGCTCACTCATGGGTAAAGGAAGCAGGGATTTCCTACTGCTACTCTGCTCACTACAACAACAGGCACATGGCAGGCGCTGAAGGGGAGTGTGTGTGTGTGTTTGTGTGTGTGTGTGTGTGTGTGTGTGTGTGTGTGTGTGTTCCACATGGAAGCTAGAGGCCAGTCTCAGGTGTTATTCCTCAACTGTCTCAACTGCCTTCTGCCCTGAATTTTTCAGGCAGGGTCTCTCACTGGCCTGGAACTCACCATGTAGGCTGAGCTGGGTGGTCATCGAGCCCCAAACCTGCTTATCTCTACCTCTCCCGCACTAGGATTATAAGTGTTGTGACCATGCCCAGATTTTTAAAAAGTGGGTTCTGGAGAACGAAGTCAAGTCCTCATGTTCATGTGACAAGAGGAGCCATCTCCCCAGCCTTCTTCAACTTGACACTCCTGACAGCTAAGGAGCTGTGGGTGACACCCCCCCCCCCCGCCTCTGCTGGGAGATAGTATCTGATACTGGCTTTTGCAGTCTTCTCTAGTCCCTTCTCCAGTCAACAACAAATCTTGAATTGTGCTGCCTTGAACTCTGCTTAGTACTAAATGACCTGGAAGAGATGATGGCTGTCTGGATTTAACTGTACAAACCTCAGGGTACATCACAAAGGCACTGTGGGGGCTTGAGAGCTACACAACAGTGCTTAGTGATGATAAAGCATGGCACTGTTTACCTTCTTTGGCTGGAAGGCAGTGCTTGTAAATTGTCCATCAATAGATGCCCCGGGCTGCTGTCTCTTCAAGTCTGGCAAAGTCATGGCTTGAAGGCAGCTTTACCACTGAATCTGGCCCTGGTGTAGGATCCTGAGAGTTGGGGAATCAGCATGGATAGTTTGGGGAGGTTCTCAGATGAAAGTCTGTTTCGAGTAGGTTTTCCTGCCAGCCTGGTCCCACAGCCGCATTAGCCCCAAATGACACACAGAGATGCTGTATTAGAATCAAAGCTGTTGGCCTGTTACTAATATTTCTTATTGGCTAGCTCTGTCTTAAATATTAACCCATTTCTATTAATCTAAGTGTTCTCACGTGGTCTTATTTTACTGGAGAGAGGGTCCAGGGTTCTGCTCTCTTCTTCCTACATGTTGAATCTCTCTTACCTCTTCCCGAATCCTCCTTGTCGCCTAGTCCCACCTATATTGCTTTCCTTTTGGCCAACAGTGCTTTATTCATTAACCAATAAGAGAAACATATTTACAGAATGACATCTCCCATCAAAAGTTTTTGTATGTTTGCTTGCTTTTAAATCTGTTTATTAATTCTGCATACAGTGTTCTGTCTGCACACCAGAAGAGGGCATCAGATCTCACTATAGATGGTTGTGAGCCACTATGTAATTGTTGGGGACTAAACTAAATTGTTGGGGTCCTCTGGAAGAGCAGTTAATGCTCTTAGCCTCTGATCCATTTCTCCAGTCAGAGATGAAAGTTTTAAGACAGCTTTGTTGTTCACCCTCATGAGTTCTATAATGAAACAGCTGCACATTTAGAATTGTGTACCTGTCACCATGATCTATCTATAAGTGTTCTTAGCCAAAAGGCTAAGAAGCAATGACCATGGCCTAACATTTAAACATTATCAGCCCCTTCAGAAGAAACTCTATAGCAAAGGTCACTCCTCAGCCCCACCCCAGCCTTGGTGACCACTGCTTTCCATTTGGATTCCGTGTGTGGCCCTTTTGTGTTGTGAATTTTTAATCTAAGTCCGTCATCTGTTGTTGATTTTCTCATTATGGTTAATGGCTAAACAAATGGCTATCCATTTGTTTACTTAGTCTTCAAACCTGATTTTTAGAAAAGTGTTCTAAATATTGTGCCTATAAAATGTGTATGAGCCCAACGATAATATCATTAAATGTCAGGTCTGTGGGGCTGAGTTGGTAGAGTGCCTGCTTAGCAAGCCTGAAGGGACTGAGTTCATTTCCTGCAAACCAATTTTTAAAACAAGCTAGGCTTGGATGGCACGCTTTTTGTAATCTGAGTGCTTGGTAGGCAGGAGACAGGCAGGTGTTCGGGATTCCCTAGCCAGCCAGCCTAAGAGCCTAGGTTACTTGATGAGTTCCAGGCCAGTTTAAAAATAAAAGACAGCATCTGAAAAATGACATCTAATTTTGACCTTTGACCTCCATATGCATGTGCATCCACACACATATGTAAACACATACACAATATCAAGTTTGTATTTGTGGGATTTTTACATGAGGACACACTCTTCAGTCCGATACACACAAAACATGACTGTCTACCTAAAGTCTAGAGAAGGCGGTGATCTGCTGGTTCCATCAGTATTGACCACAGAATATACTCTGGAGGATTTGTGGGGAGCAGCAGAAGCTCATGGGAGACTCACAGAGCTGCTTCCTGGCTTTCCTGCAGGATACAATGCCTGGCGGCGCTTCTGTGGGCTTTCCCAGCCTCGAAACTTGGCCCAGCTTAGCCAGGTGCTAAAAAATCAGGCTTTGGCAAGGAAGTTCCTGAGTCTGTATGGGACACCTGACAACATTGATATCTGGATGGGGGCCATTGCAGAACCTCTTCTGCCTGGGGCCCGTGTGGGGCCTCTCCTGGCTTGTCTTTTTGAGAACCAGTTCAGAAAAGCCAGAGATGGAGACAGGTAAGTGACCCCCAGTGCCCAAAGCAGAGGAGAAAGACAGACCTGTGTGACTGAACAAGGGAGAAAGCACCTTTTACAGCCTTATTTCTCAGGGCTGGAGAGATGGCTCAGTGGTTAAGAGCACTGGCTGCTCTTTCAGAGGACCCAGATTCAATTCCCAGCACCCACATGGCAGCTCACAACTGTCTGTAACTCCAGTTCTAGGGGATCCAACACCCTCACACAGCCGTGCAGGCAAAACACCAATGCATATGTAACAAAAATAAATTATGAACAACTTCTTTTTTAAAGCTTCATTTCTCCCAAGGTCACAGGACCTGAGATCAGGGGCTTCCTCGTGGCAAGCAGGTCTGAGGGAAAGCAATACTGACCTATGCAAGGCTGACACAGCCTGAGCCGGAGCCTCCTTGGGCCAGAACAGCAACTAGCCAGCCTTGCTGTTCTGGGTTAGCAGATTCCAGAAGGCATGGGCAGAAAGAACTAAATCTGATTTCTCTCTAGGAAGTTTGTGGCTTAAGACCTTATGTGGATATGGCATATGCTTTGGTTCAAACCCTTCCCTGGCCACCTAGATTTCTGTATACTTATTTCTGGGCAGCTCACCAGGCAGACACTGGCAGGAAGACTGTGCGAAAGGAATGAAATGGAATGTGCCAGGCATGCACAAGGTGCTCACTGTACAGTAACTCCCCAGTGTTCTCCCGAATCTCTTGATCTACAGATTCTGGTGGCAGAAGTGGGGAGTCTTCACCAAAAGACAACGCAAAGCCCTGAGTCGAATTTCTCTATCTCGGATTATATGTGATAATACTGGCATCACCACTGTTTCGAAGGACATCTTCAGGGCTAACATCTACCCAAGGGGTTTTGTGAGCTGTAGCTGTATTCCCAAGTTGAACCTGTCAGCCTGGCGAGGCAAATGAGGCTTCAGAAGGTAAGGGAAGATCTGGAGAAGGCCAGGCCCTTGCATCTCTCCCTGATATAAGACATCTCATCTACTAAGCAGAGACAATAGACTCTGTCACTAGGAACATGGTACTTTCCTAGTGGCTTCCAAGAATGCTGGCTGGGACTTCATAGGGGAGGACAGGGACAACTAGAAATATTCAATTGCCCTCATTTGGCCATTAATGTCCTAAAATAGCTCTTTGTCTGGATATCTAACAAATTGCCCACTCTCTTGTTTCTGTTATTCCCACAGGATTCTATGCCAAAACCTCAAGTGTTGGAGATGAGGGTAAGGGGGGAGATCATGAGGCTGCTTTCTCCCCCCAAACCATTTCCTTCTGGAGCTTTCCCTGGCTACATTTTGCAGGCTTCGTTGGTTAAGAGTACCCAGGATGCAATGGCAAGAGGCCCATTAACCTGGGCAACAACCTCTTAGTAAGTTATGAATCAGCGCCAGGTGTAACAGCCTTGAGTCAAGCCATGAGGCTTTGAGGTCCCAGCAAGAGACTGTGGGAGGGTTTGCAGGAACTTCTCCTGCCCCACGGCATGACTGGAAGACCACAGGATCCTGGCTCTTAGCCATGCCACACCTTCCTCTGAGCCTGCAGGAAGGGCTGCACTCTCTACTTCAAGCAATAAAACAATGCTGAGGGCAAGGCCTGCATTCTCTGTGTTGGGCTGGGGAGAGCGTGGTCTTGGACCCAAACTTTGCCCCGCATATTGAAGATGAGAGCTACTAAGATGCAGCCTGGGACTCACCACAGTCTCTTCTGGGAAGGAGAGGAAGGCAGAAGAGTTTGGGTCTCAGAGTAGAAAGAATGACAGTCCACAGATGATCAGTCAATATAAATACTTTTTATATGAAAAACAAACAAATACAATAAAGGACCTTACGTAGCTAACAGGAAGGGCAGAGAACTACCCTAGGCCATGTCCTAAACTCGGCCAGACATGCACTGTAGGATGAGCTGCCTGAGAAAGGGTGACAGGAATTCAGTCAGGAAGTTGAGGCCTCTTCGCCTCCACTTTTCTTGGAAGGCGAGGGAGACAGAGCTCTCTCATGCATCTTTCTCCTTGGACGATGCCAAACTCCATTTTGCTGTTTGCTTGTTTTGATACAGGGTCTCACTATGGCACTCTGGCTGTCCTGAAACTCACTATGTAGAACAGGTTGGCCTTGAACTCACAGAGATCCACCTGCCTCTGCTTCCCAAGTGCTGGGATTAAAGGTGTGCGCCACTACTCCAGGCCACCAAGCTCCATTTTTAAGGGCTATGAAACAGGAGCTTTCTACAGCTCTCTGCCACTGAGACAGACTGTGGGACAAACCAGAAAAGAGCCTGTGTTGAGGACAGGCTAACCCTGGGCTCACACCAAACGAGTCTCAGACTACACAGCCTGTCTTGTTATGGTGCCCATGTTTGGTAACCGAAACATGAGGAGGGGGGGTCACATGGGGCCCAGAGTCTCTGGCTTAACTTCCATGGGGAAGAAAGTCCTGCTGAAGGCTACACAGAGGAGCCAGCTGGAAGCTTCTAGATCATCCAGTTTGGTAGACCAATGTGGTCTCTAAAAAACAAGATGAAGTGAGAGTGTTTTCTTGCTCTACAGCTCAGGGCTGCAGAGAGCTAGGCCAGTGTTCCTGAGGGACTCACAAGGTCCTGGGGGAGGCTCTCTCGGGCCTCTTGCATGCGGCGCCGGGCTCGACGAAAGGCTTCTGTAAGGGAGGGAGATATAGCCACCTAGTCAGTTACTGTGGTGTGGACAAGAAAGTGGCCCTGGGTGTCCAGTTTGGGGAATGAGCTTACCTAGCACATTGTGCGTAGAACTCTGCTGGCTGAACCCTTCCAGGCGGTCCAACACGCTCCTCATCTGTTTCCGGAGGGAGCTGGATTCCATGAAAGCCCTACAGGGAAGCCCAGTAACTTACTGTCAAGGCTACTCTCCAACCTTCAAGGAAAAGGAGCTGGGGCACAGGGCTTGGGGGTGGGGGTGGGGGGAGGGCAGTGTCCCACACCTGGACTGCTGCAGGCAGTGCAAGCGGAAGGTGACAGTGCCTGTCGTCTCAGTACGGAATCCAAAGCGGCTCAGACGCTCCCCCTGGGCAGACAGCAGAGATAGGATCAGTTTGTGCTGCCTTTAGACCAGAGGCTTCGCTGCCATTTGTCATCCTAGTCTTGGGAAGTATAGCATTAATAAGGAAACTCGATTCTGTCATTCTGACCCCACACCACAAGGGTAACACCAGGCTCTCTTCTTGTAACTTTGGGAACATTCCACGCACATTGGAGAATAAGCAGGTTTATCTACTTTTTGCAAGTCCACCCTGAATCTGATTACCAAGGCCTTCAGTGACAGAAGGAGCCAGTTATCTAATGGGGGTGAGGGAATCTCTAAATACAATACTTTCCAAGGACCTACTAGAATAGATATTTGAACCTGTAAACATTGGCAGAACCTACAGTGTAAGCCACAAGAAGGAAGGGGCTACATAACATGAGTGCAATGAACAACAAGGGAGGGGGGGGGGTCACTCCAGACACACAGGAACAGAAATGCTCAGCCTGAAGTCTCCTCACGGATAAGTCACCTTGAAGGTTCCCGGAATCCTCACGTAGGAGGGGTCCTCCAGCTCCAGGGAACCGCCTATGAAGAACCTCCTTAGCTCTGCTACGAGGCCCAGCTCCATGGGCCTCCATGTGGAGATGGTCAGGGTATGTGATCCTGTGCAAGCAAGAGGGGAGAGGGGCCAGGTTCCAAGCCTGACTTCCCAGCAGTGACCTGGGTTGGTGATGACTGGATCTATGTAAAGGGTTATCACGGTGGGTGACAGTGCCCCACCGGAAGATAGTAAGACAGAGTTTCTAATCTCAGCTACTCCAGGGGTCACTGTGTGCTTAGGACAAGCTTGTCAACCTCCAAGAGCCTCTTTCTCTTTTGACCTGGTGAAATGTAGAACAAGTACAACATACGCCTCACAGAGGGGCTGCGAGCCTTACAGGAGACTAGTACACCGCCTGGCATACATCAACAGGCCTGCACCTCTATTTCAAAAGGATCGCCGGCTCATTCAATACCTGCAGGCCGGGAGCCCTGACTGAGGCTTCTCTGACAGCGCTGTGGTCTAACTGGAGGAGGCTGCTGGACTTCAGGTCAGCTCCACAGTATCTCTCAGGGGAGGGGAGAAATTCCCCAAAGCTACAAGCAACTCTACTTCTCATCAGGGGTCTCGGGGTCTTAAGGAAGTGCTGGTCTTGTTGCTAGGGCCGAGGGCATTGGGAAGGGCAGGGACAACGGTTACCTGGGGTGGCCGGCAGCACTGCAGCCCCATAGCCTTCCACACGGTACCTCTGCCAGAAGTCCAGGGAGAGGACCTTACAGTAGAGCACGGGCCACTCCGGGAGGGTGTCTGGAAAGCAATCGAGGTGGCCCTCTGGTCATGGGGACCTGTGCTACTAGAGGGCCCTGGGAGAGGAGAAGTGAGACCGAGGACCGCAGCTACTCACCAGTCAATTCGTCCTGGTGGAGAAAGAAGGCTTCAAATGTGAATGGGTAGGAGAAATAGGCCACCTTGTCCTAAAAAAGAGTGTCATTTTCAATTCAGGGTCACACGGTGGACAAAGCCTCTCTTGGATTTGATCCTCTTTGTGTCCAATGACAAGGTCACCTTCACACAGGGGAAAGGAAAACTGTCAGCTTAGGAGGAAGCCAACAAAGGGACAGCAACATAAGCTGCTGTCATTCTCTTGAGAGATCAAGAGTGACCTTCACCCCGGCAGAGCCCCAGCTAGGACTCCCCCAGACTAGCCGGGGGGTTGGCCTGATAGAGCTTCAAATGCCACCTGGAGCTGCCATTCCCTTCCAGACAGACCCTCTCGTCCTCCATACCATTCCCAGGGACTTGGTGACACAGGTCTGGGTCACTCCTGAGAACTGCGGGAATGATGGGCTTGACCAGTCTGAAAGCCAAAGACCAGACACAATAAGCTCACTAGAGAGGCCAGTAAGTCATAGAGAGAGGACAAAGACCTTTTATACATTCATTCATCATGCTTTACACGCTGCATTATGCATTTACCATTGACTGAGAGCTATATGCTGATGTTTTGAGGCTATGTTAGTGACCAGGATTGTCAGAGACATGGATGGAATTTAAGCTGGGGTAGATGTAATTGCCTCGGGAGACTAGAGGTAGAGAGTAACAGAGGCCAGGCTTAGCCTGGGATACACTCACAATTTAGGGCGAGCAGATGAGGAGAAAGCCACCGAAGAGCCTGATGAGCTCTTAGTGAGAAGGAGGGACAATGGTGCCAGAAGCCAAGAAAGATGCTTTATTAGAACTGGCAATGTGGAGGTGGGAGTGGACGGAATTGCCACTAGAACTGTCAGGATAGATAGATATACAAGAAGAAATGCAAAGACGTTTACTTACTGGTCGCTGGCAGCTCCACAAAGAAGTGGATGTAGAGGTTGTCATACTCATAGCCTTGGGCTGAAACTTAAGGGAGAAAACAGAATTTTAGCCTGCTCTCTCACTTCCCTCCCCATGGGCTTTCTGAGGGACCAGGATTCTGTTTCCAGACAGCACTCATCATCAGTTTCCCATGTTTAGCCCAGACTAAGCCAAGGTGAGTAGATACTCACAGTTGTATCAGACTCTTGCCTGGCTCCAAGACAAGACACTTACCTACCTCTCCATTTACAAAGAGCCTGAGGGCGCCTGGGATGGTCTACAGTGGAGAAATGGCAAGGTGTCACGACCAGAGGGAGTCAAGCCACCTCCCACTTTGCCTGCCCCAGCCCTGTCCCCGAACCTGCAGAAGACCTCACACATTACACATTACTGTGTGTTCTCCCTGACGCTTCTCCACAGAAGCCGTTCCTGTTTCCAAGACTCATAGAGTAACAGCACATGGCTTAGATGGCAGGGAGGGTAACGCCAGGACTCTTCAGGCCACCGGGTTCTCCTTTTTAATTGTGTTATCTGACCTGACTTTTTTTTAACATTAGGATTTGTTGCCTATGTATGTAATATAAAAACACTAAGAGTCCCTTTTCTAGAGACAGAGAGAGTGAACCTAGTGCGCAGGTCTAGAGATGGAATCCCCGGTGAGAGGGAAAACCCAGCCAGGACCCCAGAGTGACTGGCCCAAGCTGCTTTGGTTTCACTTGCTAAGATCCAAAAGACTCCATCAGCAGAAATGACATCTCCTCCCCTGTCTGTGTTGCTCCGGAACAATAGCCACTTGAAGGACGAGGAAGACATCTTTTGATCTTTATATTATTTCTTAAAAATGTATTGTAGGGCTGGAGAGATGGCTGAGAGGTTAAGAGTACTGGCTGCTCTTCCAGAGGTCCTGAGTTCAATTCCCAGCAACCACATGGTGGCTCACAGCCATCTGTAATGAGATCGGTGCCCTCTTCTGGCATGCAGACATACATAATAAATACATAAATCTTTTTAAAAAATTAATTGTAAATTAATATGTAGTAGGAGTTTGTTTCCAATGACAGTTTCAGAGTCTTAGGGCGTGGCTTTGGTGTGCAGACATGACCCTTATAAGGAAGAGGAGGGGTCGAGCACGCGCTCTCTCTCTTGGAGTGATGGGCTGAGGCCTGCCATCATCCTGCATCGCAGCACACTGTGCCTCCAGGGGCAGAAGACCATGGCGGCACTTTACCTTTCAGTGTGTGTATTCCCTAAATAAATATGTGCTATTCTTTTACTCGGGCGTTCGTGGACTTCCTTAATCCACTCTTCATTAATACATGAATGTATTACCGCCGATAAAAACCAAAGAACCACCTAACCTGGGGAACAGGAAGTCAAAATGCTTGATCTATTTTTCTCAGTGCCCAATACCCACTCACCACCACCCACCCAGCCTGTTCCAGGAGAGAGGCCCCCACAGTGTGTGTGTCCCTTTCAGACCCCATTCTGTGCAAGCCAACGGTCCACAGGGTTATGAAATGCTTCTTTGACTTGGAGCCTTTTAAGAAAGGTGCTATAGTGCTTCCACAGTCAGACGCTGCCTAAGAGCTCACAGCCGTGCAGGAAGCCGAGCTACCCACCATCTCAAAGTCTGTGCCCACGAGGCTGCTGAGGTACTCCTTGTGGCGGCCATAAAGCTGAGGAAACAAAGCGAACCAATCCTCAAAATGCAGCCCAAGCCAGACCAGGGTTTAGTTCTGACTGGGAGAAAGTCAGGGCAGGACAAGTGAGTCAGATACTGACATTTAAGGAGATTACAGGCCAAGTATGGCGGTTTGTGTCTGCTATCTCAATATTGTTGCGGCTAAGGCAAGTGGGAAACAAAGGGAGTTGCTGGGTAGTCTGAGCTAGAGTGACACAGTCTCAACATACACACACATCCCTACTAATGAATAACTAAAGTGATGCACAGAGGCTCTGAAGTTGGCCAGGCTGGGAATGGACCTGGCTCTCAAGTTTACAAGCTCTATTACTTGGGCCCTTAACTTCAGCATCCTTGTGTACAAACTGGTAAAAATGTTTGCCTCCCAGGGTTGTAGAGCAAAATCAAACGCTTGTGATGTGCCCAGCACAGCACACACACGATCATTACTCAGGTATGTGGCCACTGGTATTATGCTCCCGCATGGTCAAAGCTGCCTGTTATGCCAGTTGTGTTTTCTGGAAGGTGGGGGCAACCCCCTCTTCCTCAGACATAGTTTCATGTAAACCAGTGCTTACATCCTTGAACACTCGCTGTTCCCGCTCCTCCTCCTCTGGCTGTGCGAGGGAGGACACGTTGTCAATTGTGTATTTCCAAGCAGAAGTATGTTCCTGCTTCTCTCCCTCAGTGTCAATTCTGAAAGGCACAAAAAGGATCATTTCTGTTGGCAAGAGGTGTGGCCTTCCCGACCCAGCCCAGGAAGTCAACATGGCTGGCGACACAGCTCACTTGAGGTATATGATGAAGATGGCCACAAGGATGATCGAGACAGGGAAATAGCAGTGAGGCAGAAAAGGTGCCAGACTAGACCCATGGGTTCCAACCCCGATCTACCTCACAGGCAGAGGAAATCCTACAGCGCTCAGTTCTCTCGCTGTAGGGTTTGGGAGAGTTTGGTCTCTAACTCACAGTGCTGTCTGCTCAGACAGAAGAGGAAACTGGACCTGGTCTGGCTGAGTCTGAGTCCACTTCCCCTGTCCTAGCCAATTCCTGTACTCTGCAATGCATGAGCCCTTCTCGCTTAACTGCACAGCTAATGCAATTCCTGGAAGTTTCCTAAAGGCCTATAACCCAGAACAGAACATGAACCAGTGCCTGAGAACTAAAAGTTTAGCAGCAGATGAAGGACTTTCTGGATTCTGATCAACCAGAGGCAAGGGGTCAGGCAGGGAAGCCTGGACACACTTCTTTCCCATTCCCACCTGTAGGGTCCTTTGATGCCGTTGAAGTCAGGCTTCACCGTGATCACTCCATTGCTGTCCACCTTCAGAATGCAGAGGACATGCTCATATGCCTTATAGCCAAGCCTAGGAACAAGGAAACCGCCATCAAGGTTTGGGGTCACCATGGAAAGAGAGAGGCAGTCTGCCACCCCAGGGACAGGACAGGGGGCACAGTAAGGACCTTCATGGAAACACACTTTCTTCTGAGTACAGTAAAAGAGAAAAGACCCACTGTCCCAATGGTCCCAGATGGCTGTAACAGGAAGCTTCTGATGATTGACAGGAGAGAAGGGAAAGGACAGGAGCTGGCAGGGCAAAGTGTCACTCACTTTCCATAGGGCCCCAGGTCAGCCATTATGTACATGGTCTGAAGAGGGGTGTTAATGGCGTGGCTGTTCCTGATGAAGTCTTCCGAGGGCTCCCAGGTGATGATGCGAGACTTGAGTTTGCTGCCCTCCCTGGGAGCATCACGAAAGGGTCAATTCCCTGACACCCCACAAAAAAGCGCAAAGGAGATCATAAGGGAGCCCTTCCCCCACTGGGTCTCTAACTGGATGGGAAGTATTAGTCAGCAGAAATTACAGGGACATTAGCACAAGGCTGCACAGAGTCCCCCGGTCCCCGCTTGCACTCACATCCCTCGCCTGTCCTGGCGCCGCCGCCTGACGTTCGCCATCCGCTCAACCAGAAATGATGGCACCTCGCTGGCTGCAGTGGTTATTTCCTGACAGTACTGGGAAAAGAGAGCTGTCCTGTGGGTGCCGTGTGGTCAGGGCCACGTGGGTCAAAGCGTCTGAGGGGAAGCCTACCTCCTGACCTGCCTCCAGAGTGCAAACCCCACCCGCAGACCCTCAGAGTTAGCTGTGCTGGGCAAGGGGAGAGATGGCACCGTATCGTGGTTTTCTTTAGGGTTCTAGAAACGAGTTGTTTGTGCTAATAGTAAGATCGGCCTGCATTCTCTAGACACATGCCAACAAAAAGTTGGGAAAGTGTGCCTAGTAAATATTGGTGCTAACTAGGTGGTCAAAAATGCCAAATAGGACACCAGGGTTTTTGAGGAAATTCTCACTTGGGTAAGCTAGCAGCAACTGTATTTTTATTTGCTGCCCGCTCACAAGTCTCCTGAAGAAAAGCTGTACAAATCTTTCAAGAGACACAGACTAATGCCTGCTCCCGCCAGAGCCCCAAAGGATCAAAAACACAAAAATCAGAAAACATAGTTCTAACTTCAAGGACTTTACAATCTTCCTGAAAAGACATACATAATGATAGAAGAGAATGTAAAACAAGTCCACAAGGGCACAGTGGTACATGTAAAAACACAGGCATTCCCCTAAGCAATTTCCTCTTCTCACTAGTAAACTCATGAGTTTTGATTGAATTTATTTATTTATTTAGGTAGTTTTTTAGACAGGGTTTCTGGTGCAGCCCTGGCTGTCCTAGAACTCACATTGGTCTCAGACTCACAGAGATTTGCCTGCCTTTGCTTCCCAAGTATTGGGATTAAAGGTGTGTACCACCACTGCTGACCAGCTTTGACTGAATTTTAAAAAGATTGTTCTAGATTTTTCTGCCTCCTCCCCCTCCCCTACCCCGCCATGGCCCTCCAGGAGGCTGAAGAGCGTAACACTCATGCCACCTGCAGACTCTGTCCTCTCCAGCTGGGCTGCCAGCAGCTCACAGCAGCCTCTAGAGCCACCTGCCTCACTTTTCTGGGCTTCCCACTTACCACCCAGTGAGTCTAGAAGGCCAGGGGAGACAAAGAAGGCGCCTCAGAAGGAGGAGTACCTCTTCCAAGTCAGTGTATCTATCAGAGTCGGTGTAGGTGAAGATTCGCCGGTTTTTCCTGCCGCCGGAATTCTCCAGCTTCAGGATCTCTTGACGGTACTGATGATCCAACGGACTTTGACATGCAGATTCATTTTGGTACAGATCTACTTCAAACTGAAATCACCACAAAGAAACACATCAGCTGGGACTACCTCAGACTTCGGTTCCTACAGCTACCAAATCAAATCACTTCTACAGAGCCAGTTGACATGTTTCGATAACCAGCCGTCACTTGTTTTAATAAGGAAGGGCAGGGGAATCTAAGGATGTTATAGTTAAAGGGAACCAAGCTGACATTCTAATTCATGCTAGAGATGCCTCAGAGACAGAGTCTCAGCATGCCTTATCCAGAGCACTACACTGAGCACTTTAGTTATGTTACAGCCTTACAATATCCAAATAAACACAACAGGAGAAAGTATAAACATCCACAACCTTCTCTGGAAATCAGTTTCACAGCGTGAATCACCACCAGCCAGGTGGGAGTGGTAGGTGGTGGACTGAGGAAGGTAATAATGGCTTACCTGGCTAAAAAGTTTCTCCTGCCACCCAATGACAACCTCTTCCTCCTCTTCCTCATCGGGGCGGTGTCCACCTCCAAACACAACAGAACGAGTCAGGTCGGCAACACATCTTCCTCTGTGTTTGATTAGAACGAGCGCTCCTATTCTTGTTTCATTTTGGTTTTAAAAATCCACTAGTGTTGTTGGACAGTATCTCACTCTGCCATCCTGTCTAACCCCATGCTCCAGAGCCTCCTGCCTCAGCCAGAAAAGCGCAGACATCACGTGCATATACCACCTGGCTTGCCTTCAAAGTCCCTATTCACACGGACCACAAACTCCACTGGAGTTCAGTGGTTCGTTCAGTACTCAGTCTAGGCATGAGTGGAGGAGGTGGGCATGTTTCAGTTAATGCTAGATGCCAAGATTAGGACCTGTGGCATCTCAATCACCACAGTCCTGCCTTTCAGGAAACATTTCCTCAAATCCAGTATTAGGAACGAATATGTAGTTAGAGCTGGAGGCCAGCCCTCCTCAGCCTATCCGCATGTGCTAGATGAGGAGCTGTGTTTCTTTCATATCCCTGCAGCCACCGATAGAATCACACATAAACACTGACAGGAGACCAGCGTCACGGGGGGGCAGGGAAAGCAAACAAATGATTTTTTTTTTATAAACAACATTTAATACAGTCCTGGTTCCGTGTGGCTTTCACATGGTGCATACTTGGTGATCCACCAGTCTACCCTTTCTGCTTAAGAGAAATGTCAGGATAATGAAAGATTATTGGCCCATTGTACCTGTCCTCTTTTTTTGGCTTCCAAGACAGGGAAAATCACATTAAATGCAAACTCCTGTTTTACATCTGGAGTTTGGAACACATTTCTCTTAGAAGCCCCCCCCCACACACAAACTCCACACAAGTCACACTTGGGATGGGTGAGATGGCTCAGCGGGTAAAGGGGCCATGGGCAACCTGATGTCAAGCCGCAGGGCTCATGGGGTGAAAAGGGAACTGAACCCCTGCACTGTGGCACAGACATGCACACACACAAAAGTAAATAAAAATGTAAAAAAGACTGCCCAGGTTCAAATGCTCCCCCATGCCCCAGCTACGGGACACTGGGCAACAAACTCAACCTGTCCGGGCCTTCCATCCCTCCTCTGTACCTCTATCGCCCCGGACCCTTTCCTCAAGTCTCAAGGGGAGGCATCACCATCACCAAAAACACCCACTAGCTGCTTGAGGCGGTCTAAAAGTGGCCAAGTCTATGAGGTCCTTCCCCATCTGGGCAGCAGGCTGGTAATGAAGAAAGTTGCTTGATGTGATTCTTTGCAGATGAACTCTGTCAAGAAAAGAGAAGCCTCAAATCCGCGTGTCAAAGACACACAGCGAGGAGATAAACACAGCAAGGATGAGAAAAAAAAAAACCACAGAGGCGGAGTTGCTAAGGCGTCTGCAAGCAGGGCAAGGGGAGGGCGTGGGTAGGGGCGCCCGCGGGAGCAAACTGAGAGGGCGTGTTGGGAACACAAGGACCTGGGGGTTTTGAAAGTGAGGATAACTTTTAGGGACTTGGGCAGGGGTGAGGTTTGGAGGATGTACTTGGAAGCTTTCAGTGGGAAAAGGTCTTGGCAGCAAGATGTGCAGAGATGGCAGAGGAAATAGTTGGGGTTGCAAGCGGAAGTGGTGGAGAGGTTCCGAACATCCAAAAGCCTGGGGTGGGATTGTCCAAGAGCATAAAGCTAGGGGGGCCCGGTGCTGGAGTGGTGTGACTACCGGAGGCGCAGGTTGCGCACGGGGTCCCGGGAGCGATACACGGCCTCGCCGGTGTCAGTGCTCCACACCGCTTCCGCCATGACAGCTGCTTCGCGCCGCGACTGCGCCGGAAAGCGCGGTGCCCCGTTCCCCTGGCAACGGAGACGCTGGCTCTTTAGTCGCTGGTGGCGCTGCGCACGCAGGTCTGCATTCCGGCGGGAGTCAGTCCCTAGGCACTCAGGGTGCTATCGGTTAAGGTCTGCAGAAATGGCTTGTCCTGTGTGAATAAAGCTCACCCACCACCAAGGTGAGAGTTGATGCACAGCGCAAACGAGGAAACCGCCATCAACCACTTCATTTAGGTGTAAAAATGGTGGGGCCCAGAACCATGTGCCCTGAGTCCTTGCTTTCTAACCAAACACTGCTTTCCACTGAACATTTGAAAACTTAGGCCCAGGGGGCTGGAGAAATTGCCCAGTGGTTAAGTGGTTAGTGGCAGCTCTTCCAGAGGAAGTAGGTTTGCTTCCCAGCGCCTACATAGCCACTCACAGAGTTTGTAACTCCAGTTCCAGGGATCAAACACCGTCCCTTCTTCCAGCACACATGTAGTAAGTACCCATACACATAAAATAATTAAAAATCAAACAAACAAACAAACTGTCTTAAACGGTGTATATGACTGAAAGAACACATTCATTTTTCTCAAGGTCCCAGGGACATTATGTCATGAAGACATGAAAACATATTTTTGGGAGAAAAAGCAAATGGGACAGATATATTGGTCACTGTGCATTCTTGGAGGCATAAAAAAAAAAAAAAAACCAAAAAACTATGGGTCAGATATATTAGTCGTTGTTTTATTATGCACTGAGCCAGAGAAAGAAAAAAAAAAAACAAAAACAAAAAAACAAGGAAGTCAGCAGTAAAAACAAGGAAGCCAGCAAGACAGAAGGAAGGGGTGTTTTTAAGAACTGGTTTTTCCCCCTGAGCATGTTGGTTCTGGATTATTAGCCAGTTTAGATCCCTCACCAACCCGTGAAAAACCACCTAAGTGACATTCAGAAGTCATGGTTCACTGGAGTGTCAAAGAAGATGGTACAAGTTTAATTCTGGCAGTTTGGCAATATTAACATTAATTCTTTGACACCTGCTGCTCCTTCATCCGAATAAGCAATTGTTGCCTGGACTGAGGAACTCATTGTGTACATCAAGAACTCACCACAAACTGTGCCCACTTATTCAGTATCTAATACAGTTTGTTTTATTGACTTTAATCCTCATAAAAACAGCTCCAAGAGGTACTTTATTCCTAGTTAAAGAGGAAGTCATTGAAGGCCAGGAGTTCAGTAAGGGGCTTATAAATGAACCCTAAAATGCTAGATGCTGGATTCCAACCTAGCTTATCATCTTTCCTAGTTTATCTGACCTTCCACTGACGTACTGTCCCCTGGCCGCCTCATTAAGAACACACAATTTCCACTGAAGTGATGATTCCAATAGCTGAAGCCATGGAAACTGACTCATTAAAGAGAAAGGCATTCTAGCTTTTCTTCTTAAAGATGAGACATGAATGCAGGAGAATTTCAAGTTTAAGACCCGATTTCAAACAAGAGAAAAGGAAAACAAGAAAACAACAACAACAAAATCAACTAAGGGCTGGAGAAACAGCTCAGTGGGTGAAGAACTTTGCTACGAAGCATGATAGCCTTAGCTTGATCCTTTGAGCAAGAAAATCATTTCCACAGAGCTGTCCTTTCATCTACATGCATACCCTGGGGCAGCATCACCAATAATAATAAAATTATGTTGTTTTGTTTTTTTAATAGAACCTCCTAGGACATTGGCTGTATCAAGATGAAGCCAAAGGTCTCCTTCCCAGCCACTGGCTATGAGGAATCATTGAAGTGGATGCTGAGCGCAAACATAACTCTTTCTACCTGAAGCTCATGGCCACAGAAGTAACTGCTGATACTGCAGGTAAAGAGTGGAAGGGTTGTGTGTTCAGAATCAGTGGTGGGAATGACAAACAAGGTTTCCCCATAAAGCAAGGTGTCTTGCCCATGGCAGAGTGCACCTGGTGTTGAGTAGGGGGCATTCTTGTTATAGGCCAAGGAGAACTGGAGAGAGGAAGTTCAGGTCTATTCACAAATGCCTTGTGGGTGCTGAGCTCAGTGTTCTCAACTTGGTTACTGTGGAAAGGGGGAGAGAAGGATATTCCCAGGCTGACAGATACTCGTGTGTCTCAGCACCTGCGGCCCCAAAGAGCTAGAAGAATCTGAGAGCTTTCCAGTCTCTCTAAAGAAGATGATGCTCACCAGAACGTTGCCAGAAAGAGCTTAAACAAAGAGGGTGAGAAGCCTGGGGCCAAATCACCCAAGATTCGATGCCTTATCATTCCATGTGCCCTGCAACACAAACGCCTATGAAGAAGCAACTCATCAAGGAAAACACAGAGGAGGCTGCAGAAGATGCTGAACTTTTCACCAAGAGAGTGAAGGAAGCCAAAGAAAAATGCCAGGAAGAGATTGCCAAGAGATGTAGGCCATCTTTGCTGAGTCCAGTCAAAAATTCAAGTCTTCAAGAGTAAGAAATTATCAGACTTTGAAAAAAAGGATAGCATTTAAGAACATTCTTTTAATAGACAACTACTGTGTTCCATGAGCAATAAATAACAATGGATCCTACATCCACAATTTAGTTTTATGACCAAATCAAACTTACACCAAAACCAATCTGACAAAAATGAATGTAAAACTGTTATTGTACACATGGTGTGGAGGTATAGGCTGTAAGCATAAATAACATTATTTTTGAACAAATACATTACATTTAAAAAATATTTCTCCTTGGCTACTGAGTCTTATAAATCCAGACTTTAAAATCTGAGGTTCTGGAGGAGGAGTGAAAGTTTCACCTCTGGGTTTCTGATGTGAACATTTTCTCAAAAGAGTTCATAGTTTTTAGCAGAGTATGGAAAGAATTTGCACCCTGATATCAAGAACAACCTGGATTTTATTAACTCTATTATCTTGTCATTAACTTTTCATGTGTTACTTATATGTCAAGAAAACACTGCCAACAATCTATCCAATTGACCCTTCATATTTGTGGGTTTTCCGTACATACATCTAACCAATTACAGGTTGAAAATGTTCAGGAAAGAAAAAATTATTATCTGTAGTGAACATGGCTAAACTTTTTTCTTCGCATAATTTCTTAAACAATATGGTAAAACAGTTATTTCCATATCATTTATGTTGCATTGTGTATTCTTAGTGATCTGAAGCATTCGGGGCTATAGAGATGTCACTCAGTGTGCAGAGTGCTTGCCTAGCATGCAGGAAGCGGTGGGTTTGATTTCCAACACCAAACAACCAGCTGCAGCAGTACAAATCTGTAGCACCAGCACTTGGGAAGTGGCTGTCAAAGGCTCAGAAGTTCGAGGTCACCTTTGATTGGACAGCTGTTTCACAGCCAGCTGAGTTGAGACCTGGACTCAGACAAACAAAAAACATAAACAACACATTTCCTTAAAGAAGTTCAAGTCTTGTCTTTCAAGATCACAAAAACAAAAGAAAACAACAAAACAAACCAGAAGGTACAATGGGTTGAGCCAAAGGCCACAGGCAGTCTGCCCACCTGATAAGAGTCCAAGGACAAGGCCATTTAGAGGTCACAGCTGTCATCCCCAAAGTAAATATTTTAATGTTCACATGCTTCACAAGCCCTCAATGAAGCAGGGTCACTGAGTTGTGCCAGACAATGCTAGGCGGTCAGTAGACAATCCAATGAAGTCCAGAAGGTCCAAACAACCTCATGCTTTTTTTAGGCCTGATGGTGATATCCTATGACCTCCAGGACAGCCAGGGCTACACAGAGAAGCTCTGTCTCAAAAAACAAAACAATAAAATGTGTACAGAGGGTTTGGGGGTTATTTTGTGCAAGTGTCTATGAAACTGAAAAGTTTCTTCAAACAATGAATCATTTTAGTGATACATAGTGACTCAATTCTGAGCCATTCTGCATTGAGACAGAAGAGGGAGGGTTACCTATGATGTTAGACAGAATGTTTGGCATTTGTGCAAATAATCTCAGAAACAAACAGGTGACTTTGGAGGGGGAAAACAACAGAAAGAAAGAAAGAAAGAAAGAAAGAAAGAAAGAAAGAAAGAGAAAGAAAGAGGAAAGAAAGAAGGGAGGAAGGAAGAAACAGACAGAAAGACTGACAGATTAACGTGTCTGCCTGAGACTCAAGAGTGAGCAATTATGAAGGCATTTTGGGGGGGGGGATGGTGGATTTGTTATCTTGATTGTGGTACTGGGTTTTACCAGTGTGCACATGTGCCAGAATGTATTAATACCATCTACATACATTTTAAACATTGCAATTTAATGTACATCAATTGTACCCTCAGTAAACTGGTGCTTTAAAACTTTAAAAATGTCAAATCTATGAACCCATCCTCCTCTGGACTGCTGCCTCCTGAACCCCAATCACCAAATGAGCCACATAAGAACAGGAAAGTCTCTCTTCTCCTGTCAGTTTTTACTTTATAGTTTACCTGACTCCACAGGACATAATTCATGAAAGCCCAGTCACTAGGTGCATAAATGCCCAGCGTTGATTGGGCTTCATTATGGATCCCAGTACTCACCTTGGCACTGCGGGAGAGTATTAAGAAACTAGTAACTGACCAACAGCATTATATCAAATACAGAATCTCGGTGTAATAATTGTGGCTGGCGCAGAGGCAGGACAAGACCAGCGGAACGAGGAAAACCTTACTCCTTACATATGGTGCCCATGTGGCTAATAAGAACTTCCACTTAAAATTTAACAAAAGTTTAAAAAAGGGTTTTAGAAACAAACAAACAAAAATAAATAAACAGAGACAATCAAGGTTTCTTGGTAGCAGCATTTTTCTCGGTTGGACTCTGATTTAGGAGAGACAGCAGTTATTTACTCGGATCCTTTAAGGGAGGTTTCCTGACTCAGCATAAGTGGCAAAACCCCGCAAGGCTTTTAAGAAACTCTGCTAACAGTTCATTGGTGTGTATGAGAGCTGGCAATGGCAATGACCACATCTCCAAGCCAGCAGCATGCTGCTGGATGGCAGCGCAGACCAAGGCAGTGAGCATAGCTCTCAGTGCTGGCAGTA